CTAAATGGTACGAATTGCCTATAATCCAGCCACCTTCAACTGATAAATTAAACGAAAGACTCTAAGAAAATTTAGGAACTATTCAATGTTCAACATAGATGGAAAGTAGAGGCACTAAAGCCTGTAGGAGACCGAAGAAGTTCCTCAAGTTAATTGAACCTCAGCCGTTTCACTGTCAACGATCAATTTTTTATCCGTGCGGATTGGTTCTCAAGGGAAAAAAGCTCAGCGGAGTAACTGTCTGTACCTATAATCTATTTCTATCATCGTTAATAAATACACCTTTGAACAGCTGTGAGAGTTATATCCTCCCTTTACCACCAGGCTAGGTGGACCAAGCTGAAGTGTCAACAGGTAGTGGGGCTAAAGCTCAGGTCTAACAGGATGGATGGTCATACAACAATCGTGAGAGTTATTTCTAATTGAAGCCTATCGGAAACGAGCTCGAAGTCGTTCGAGCAGCGTGACTAACCGGTTTCCTAGAAGCCACCCCTTCAATGGTTGACGACATCAGTGTTTCTGTTTTGGAATTCAGCTGCTGTCGATCAAAAGTGTATTGGGTTATTTCCAAAACAATATTTCTGACATTGACAATATGTTACACAGCTTTTAAATAATACAGAGGAAGTACATATTATTTTGATTACAACTTGATGTCACACAGTATTTTTGGTACAAGTATGGAATTTTCAGCATGTGATATCAGTAGCCCAAATTTTGCAGGCCGACCATAGATATCGGGTGTACGTAGGCAGGGGATCGAACCCGGACCATGTGCATGGTCGGCGAGAGTCCTAACCGCTGCGCCACCGACGCATACTTAAGTGAAAATACTCTGTTCAGTCTTTATTGCCTCACAGTTTTCAAGTTTAAATGAATGGGTTGGTTGAAAACATCTCACGTGCTTACTTTCTGGTCATACGGGGTTCATCTGCTTCTAAAAGAAATCTTTTATGGTGACCATCAAAAATAAAAAGTTTCGTGGCGTATGGGGAGAATGGCGATATTTTGATGCATTTCTCCGAAATCATTACATCAAACTGCCCTGAAAGTCTTATTTGTGACAGTAAAGTCTTCCAATTGACTATTCACTCTGGTATGTTTACAACAAAGTTAGGTAATCAACGGTATAGACCACTCTGACTAACACTCAGGGAAAACCATCTGAATGTCCCAAGAATCAACGTTATCAGTTAAGCAAGTAACATTATTCACGGATTTTAGGGCGCTTGATTTAAAATTTATGTCTTTGAAAAAATCGGGGTTGTCATTTTTCTATCTAGTGTAAGATGTAGCTCTTAGGTAAACATTGGTAACGCTTCCGAGGCGAATGACTGACGCTCCAAGCGCTAATGACAGCGTTTTGCAAAGTACGTGGAATCTATTTGGGCTTCAGAATAGCATGTGTAGTATAGTATCTTAACTTAAACTCTTGATGAATTTGAGTCGTATAACACTGTGGCTTGTAAAGGTTATGGTCAAGATATTTCTGGGGTCACTGTGATAAAAAATTTATTTTTATTTTCCCATATAACAAAACAATGCGGTTTGTAAAGACGAGTGCCCATCACTTGAATGCACGAGATTTAGTGTTCTGTTTTTGTTATGTTCTAGTTTCCCCGTCGCCAAATTGTTATGTACTAGTTTTCCCCGTCGCCAAATTGTTATGTACTCGTCGCTGAATTATTGTTATGGACTGGTCGAGAAACTAATAGTCCTGACGCGAGAAGGCGGAAATCAGAAGACCACTAGGTTTGCGATGATACTTCTATTGTCCAAACACAAGGAGACGAAAATAAATGGTCTCACACCAAAAGTGGTAAGCAAGTCAAGTAGTTGTAAAGTAAAGTAGTTCACACAAATTGTGAATGCGAATATATATAAATAATTCAGACAAGCGTGGGAAAATCATTAGACAGTCTTAACATGAATGGCTAATTATAATGGAGTGTCGATCCAATTATACATAGCCAATATAGCAGACATGCCAACCAACATATATGGATATATCTTAAAAGCAACTCTTTCAGACTACTAACCGGTATTCCGATGTCGATCTGTTTTTCTAGTATCTGTTGGCAGATCGACATCGGAATACCGGTTAGTAGTCTGAAAGAGTTGCTTTTAAGATGTACTATGAATGTACATTTCATATTTAACAATATATGGATATATGTCACCAAGCAACGGACTGTCAACAAACACTCATATTATATATAATATAATATAAGGAGAATACACATTATTAAAGGAGACAAGTTCATACAAGTGAAGTGGTCACAGACTAACCGAGCAAACAGAAAGAGAGACCAACATGCACACACACACATAAATATATATATGTGGATACATATCAGTTTTCTAAAATCATGCAAATATTAACAAATCAAGACAAGATTACCGTCGACATTCGAATGAATAAATAACCCTGGTGGGTGAGCCCTGTGAATAGTCCCAAACCAGGACGGAACCGCTGTTCAGTACTTCCAGGTTTTCCAATGGTTCTCTAACTGATGTCAGCTCATGAAGAAATCCTCCAACCAATCAAACAAAATCTTTACAATAGCAATACTTGAAAATAAATTTTCCGCGAGGTAGGCATGTGCAGTCTATTCTTTTTATCAGCTTCAGGTCAGCTGCCTTCTAGATGGGGGATGGATCACTGTTCATTGTAAGCTAAATGAGGACGAATATGTCACATTATGTTGCACTAGTATTGAAATTTCACCCATAATGGAATTATACTCTGCCACAATGCCGAAGTTTTACACTTATTTCAGTAATGCACTCGGATTAGTTTTTGTGTAAACCGAGGAACAAGGGAGAAAGGATTCTTCTTCTTAGTTAATGGGTGTGATTATATAATAATGCCTCGTCGAAATTAAGCTATGAAGCCATTAATCCTGTGGATATTTAGTGCTAGTTCTTCTGTCATTGGTTGATTATTCTGCCTCTCTTGCTTTTACAGACTGCTTTGTACAATGTAGCTATCAAGATTTCATTTAGAGAGTAAAAGAGAACCTTTGATAGAGCTTGTGGTATGTATTACCGTGTTAATGAATGATGAAAATTGGTTGTCGAGTTATGCAGATAGTTTGTAATTCGGGGAGACATGAATGTCTAATTTGTCACTGGATTCTCTAATGAATAGGAATTGATGTGTGTGCATAAGTGAGTTTAATTTTCGGTGATTGTGGACTTATAGTGATGTCTACCTGAGTGTTTATTACAGTCATGTTGGTAGAATTGTGAAAGTAGAGGCAGGATTAATTTAACGTTACGATGCTTTTGTAGTTGATTTTTTGTGACTAAAATAAACGTAATTTTTGGCTATAAGAGTATAGCATAATAGTGGTTCTCACAATCTGACATATCATAGGTGTTTTATTTTCAGAATTTTAGTGGATTCTCTTCCTAGGAAAGTTTTTTGGGTCTTAGAAAATATTTTGTCATATTTCTATATTCGAAGAAAAGTCAAGCCATACCAACAGTGAGATGATGAACTTTATGGTCACTGTTTAGCAGGAATTCGAAGCAATAAAGGTCGCTTGGTAGTTGCACATGTATTTATGCTGTAGATACGTGTTGTACAGTTAATGTTGGTAGTATAATCTTTATCGTCGAATGTTGAACTTCTCCAAACTAGTCTTTACATAATCGATGTGTTGTTTTGTAACCCGACTGCTAACTTGTTAGTGAAATGTAAGCTGAAATGAATGAAGACTTTCAGTCTTATAACCTACATTTCATACAGGTAAGGCACTGAGGTTAAACTGTATACTGTGTGTTTCTCAAGTCTATGAAGGCTATCCGAATAAAGTTCAATATTGTAGTTGTATCGGAATGAGCATCGGACTTCTGAAGAATTAAGTGTATAGCGCATCTAAACAAAACACTTTTGTTTCTGAGTCAGTCACAGAGAATACAAGCAATGAAATGACTGTTCGTCATATTTTTGAGCAAAACAATGTCCACCTTCGTCACAATTAATAATTAAATTGTCCAAGGTGATCATATGTCTGTTTTCGACATAGAACTTTGCATCGATGCGCAGCAGCTCAAGTCACCACACTCCACATAGTTTACAAAGCAAGAGAAGAAAGTAGAAGAAATGCATAATAGAGACAGTAAACAGAGGCGCGAGACAAAGGAATAGTAGTAACGAAGAACAAAACAGTTTCATTGGAAATTATAAGTCACAAGAAGTGGATGCGTGTGCGCTACTGAGAACGATTTTGAGCCATGTCACCAATTGTTTCCAACCATTGGTTTTTACCGTCCCGAGGACCCCAACCAGGAAGTCTACACCTTCCTGCGTGGCTTAGACTAACTGTTGTAGATTTCATTGACTGGTGCCATGTTTTTGTTTGACCTCCACTAGCTCTTTTCCAGCCTGACCCTATATCAGCTAACATTGCCCGTCGAGGAAGGCGATGACTAGGCACATGTCCTAACCATCTCAGTCGATGTAACTTCACAACCTCGTCGATTGATTTCCCCTCCTTACCTAGCACTTGACGCCTAACCTCAATGTTGCTCACCTTATTATACCACTTCACACGGGAAATAGAGCGCAGGCACCTATGATCAAAGACAGCTAATCTTTTCATGTCTTCCACTATCAATGGCCGGGTTCCACAGCTATAAAGGAGGACGGAGTGGACTGATGAGCAGTACACCCGCCCTTTGGTCGATAGTCGGATATCATGTCTTCGCCAGAGACGGAGTGAACTGGCATATGCGAAACTAGCCTTCTGTATCCGTGCTGAGATTTCGTCAGAGATCAACCCGTTGGCTCTGGCTGAAGGTACTTCCCAATTAAGTGCTCTACCACTCCACTTCCTATTTCTAATCTAGGAGTCGGTCATCATATCGGTTGCTGGCAGTTCCACTTGACATACATATAGTCCTCAGATATCATGCAAACACCCAAATGAATCAAAATGCTTACCACTGACGTATATAAAATATCTTAGAAGTCAGACTTTCATTCCAAAAGCCTCTCGATACTTAAACACTCTCAGGGTTTTTTTCCTCATTTCATTGAAGACAGTCAAGCATACACCACACACTCATAGATGTCGGGAAATTGAATATTAGCATTGCAATTTTTGGATTGTAGAAGTCGTAGTTTACCTTTTATTCTGTGTAAAACACTTTTAAAGGACATGAAAACTGCTCGAATATTTTAAGTGAAGTTTATTTGAATTTCCAAAGTTACATGTACAATACAGGAAAGTATCAGAAAACAAATGATGTTAACACAAAATAAGTACAAACACACCTGGTGTTGAGAACTAAAACAAGGAATCCTGAATATAACATGTTTAAGGTATACAATTAGACTCTCATAAAGATAAACGTAAAAAGAAATATTAGCAAGTAAATGCTGTTAGTGAAATAATAATAATATTAATATTAACAATCATAATAATAATAAGAATCTTAAAGAATCACCGACGAAGGGTATATAGCGGCGTTGGCATTGATTTCTTTTGTCAAGCCACATACGCATTTACAACATTCGACCAAGGACTATATCGATGCAGTCGATCAACTGACCTTACAATAAAATAATACATATATTTTGGTTGAACTTGATTCAATGTACAGGCCATAGGCAGGGGAAGGGCAGCCACTTCACCAATCTAAACAATTTATAGGAAGAACAAAAAGGCAACCACATATAATATAGATGCACCATTAATATAGTCTTTAATAAGTAGGGTAAGCACTAATGGACTCACACACTCACACAAGTAACTTACAAAGAATAATCAAAATTAGTTTTATTTACATAGAAAGGCTATTTTGGAGACACCGTATATACAAACAATAAAGTATAAATATGTAGCTACCAATAACGATAGTGAAGCAGGGCCTAAAAGTAGGAAAAAGTTACTAAAATTATTTCATTTATGATTTATTGCTACGCGCTATCAAACCGTATAATTGTAATGTGGTGAGAACTGGCTGCTAGCCAAAAATTTGTAGACAGTAATTTACGTCAATGTTTACGTCCTCAATATTGGTCGTGAGAAAAATATGAACAAAGACTGATTCGACAACTAACCACAGCAGACTTTGCGTAGGCGGATACAGTTAGCATATAGATGATCTGACATTCAAGAAACAGCCACAAAGAGATAAAAGATTACCTTTCAGTGAGAAACAACCAATCAGAAGACTGCTAACAATAATCTATAATAATGTACATGAAAATCTATACATACCTGTTGATTTCCTTAATAAACAATCCGTTGCCTTGCCCTTGTCTTCTATTTTTACAGTAATACATGAAGATAACTTTGAACACATTCGGAAACCGCTGCACAGTAATGGCTAGATCCCTCAAGCAATATAAAGGTAGACCAACAAAGTGACTTATTCACCTACGAAATGCGATTCAGTTTAAATTTACAGGTAAACTTCACCAGTTATGCACTTATAATCATGTGATTTTCCTGAAGCTGTCAGTGTGGCTGTGAATTTCATCAAGTCAGAATTTTCACATCCCACGAAAATATCGGTAAAGTGATGTAACATAAGCTAACATACTGTACACTGTTCTGGTTAGCAATCGTGCAAATAAATGACACAATGAAAATGGATTTCAACTTTTAGCCTTTGGTCAATTAATTTCTATTAACAATCACTGCAAGATGTACCAAAAGTTAGGAAGACAGTACCACTAAATTATATGCCATGAAAGCCGAGTTTACAAAGACTATAAGTACAACAAAAGTGACAAGAACGTCAGTCAAGGTGAAAGAAAACCTCGGGATATAGAGAGCAGCCTGGCTGATACAAACACCGAAATGCAACTTATGAAATTATGAAGACAGTAAACAGAACTAGTTATATGAAGACTACTTAAACAGATGGTAACACACACCTTATTCCATGGTAAAGGCATTTGAAAAGAAACTAACGCCGTGTCAGATGTAGTATGACTGTATATTTCATAAGCGACAGCGGGTTCGAACGGTATAACAGGGTATGCAATTGTCCACTGTAAGGTAACCCCTGAAAAGTGGAAAAAAAGGATTCGCAAAATAAATAAGAAAAATACACATTTATACAATCAGTTTCATTATGTAAACTGCCTCTCATCTCTATAAAATGAGCAATAACCTAACCTCTGACACGCAAACCTGTACAACTCTATTATGGATAAGACTATCATGTCAACTTGATATGATTATGAGCAATAGTTTGTGCTCGAAACGTCGTCATCAGTTAATGTTACTGTATAACACTGTGTGATTTATCAAAATAAAATCTTATCCATAATGGAGTTATACTCTACCACAGTGCCCAAGTTTTATACTTATATCAACACAAACCTGTATTTCATTTGTCACTTGAAGTATTTGTCGCCAATGCTCTCGTAATAATTCCCGATATTTATAAGCAAATCGAAGAATAATAGTTGCTGTAGCGACATAGCACGATCTACTTTTTATATTTCGCAAAAGTTGAGTTGGATTGACAGGTATATCTGAGCTAGTAACAGACGCGGCAATCAAGAGTATCGCCTGTCAGCCACCAACCAACGCTAAATAATGGTTAATTGGTTTCCCAGACGTTACTTGGTCAACAACACACACTGAGGTAAGACAGTAAATTACATTTAAATCGCGAAATGATATTTAAACAAGGAAACAAAGAATGCGTGCACGACTCAATGGATTAGGCATTATAAAAGACATCCATGAGTTATCTGTCTGTCTAATATGAGACCTCTGGTTGGTTCATTTTCCAGATAAACTACCGATCCGCATATCACCTTTGTTGACCATTACTCTTAATATTACTCATTCTTTGAAATAGAGGCCATTAACTGAGTTTTACCCTCATTTAAAACAATATCCCTTTGTAAACTTCCATAGTTTTACGTGATAACGGGGATACATTAAGAAAAATCTGATGACATTTCCTTGTTAAGTCCATCCATTGGGAAAATAAAAGGCCAATTAAAACATAAAAAATGACAAGATTCAAGAATAAGAGCAATCAGTAAAATCAGATAAGGGTTACCAAGGTAGGTCGAGAGTAACAACAAATTTTTACACTACACAGGATGGAGACTTAATTTCATGAATAGCCATCGCCTCTGCCGGTTTCAATAAGCAGACCTGACTGTCTTTATAAACAATATTGAAAGCTGTTTCAATATGAGCCTTGTGATTCATTTCAGTAAAATGTTCAGCTTTAGACGAAGTTGGCAGTTCGCCATGTTTCACAGTTCAATAGTTTTCCTAAACAACCCTCTCTCTGATATTTTAGTGGGCAGAAACTCGGAATGTAGGCTTTCCATAAATTGACTGCTTTATTCACCCATCTTTTCTCCGACTCAAAAGCACATCTTGGAATGCAAGCTGGTCGCAGCTTTCTCCTTCATATTTAAATTTTAATTGATTTGTACGGAGTCGAGTATTTTCATCAGACGAGCCGAATCTTCATGATTATTAATACGCCATCAAGGCATCTTCTACAAAAAGGCACTTCAGCAATCAAATCACCGGAGATACTTACAATGTAAGACACATACATTAGCCAATCCCCGTCTTCCAATAACACTATTCAATTCTATCACAAATACTTACATATGAAAACATGTAAGTATCCCGTCCGATATGATAGTATGAGGTATGCCAATTTTCAGTACAAATTATGAGCATTACTTGTCTCAAAGTTACTTTCAACCAGTGAATTATGAGACATCAATACAGACAAGATTTAATTATATACTACAGGAAATCCGTTCTCAACTGAATGGCTGTGATAACTTCTTTGACTGCAGTGTGGAGTGAAATTGGTTCGAATCTGAGGGAATATCAATTCCTCGATGCCGAAGACACGGAATATACATGCACACGAAGTAGTCGGACCGATAGGTGTCATTTTTACATCCTCTTTGTCTATGGGCCAACGGACGGTAGCCCAGATGTAACTAAGGATGAGTTCTACCATCAGTTGAGCGATCTTTTCCATCAATCACGTCCCATTGATAGCGGCGTGCTAGCTGGGGACTTGGATGTACAGATTTGGCATCTGAGATCAGACGAGAGTCATTTAAGTGGTCAATAGGTAATACACTGTCTCAAGTCAGATAATGAAGACAGTCTTCTGGAGATCCGACCTATTTATATCCAGCACCGACTTCCCGAACAGCCATCACGGTAATGCTGCCTGGAGTTCCTCTTCTAACACTGAAGACTGGAGTAGAATAGATCATCTTACTGTCAGCTACTGATAGTGTGAGTGCATACAGAACTGCCGCTCTTTCTGTAGCACTTATCTAGATTCTTGTCATGCTTTAGTGTGTGACAGATTAATTGTAATAGATATCGCAGGCCAACAATCGTATTTCGTGATTATAGGACTGTCCTGGATTCTTTGGATAGAACTGCTTTCTGGAGTTTTCTATTAGAGGGAGGCGTTTCTATGATGTTTATCATTATCTTGAAAGTCCTACACAAAAATATCTCAAGTAGTATCAGCAAAGAACCACCTAACACCACGAATGTCAACTAACCATGGGCTGGACAGAATTGCCCAATCTCAACAATTCTTTTCAACTTTATCATGGATGACATTCTGAAAATACCTCTGAACAGTTTGCGTGTTGGCAAGTTAGATCTGCTACTTGGCGAAAGAATTCAGCCTTGAGTATCTAGACAATACATCTTACTATATTATACATACAGTTTGTCCATCTTGCAACTGATTAGTTGACCGTCAATGTCTGCGTTGTGCTCAGCCTGACTGAACAGTGATGTTGCAGCAGCCTGTGCACTCAATCCCCCTTGCAGGTGAATAGATAGAAGTAGAAGATAAGTTAGTGTATTTAGGTAATTGTGTGAAAGTTGTGTTAGGCTAGCATATGTTCGGGTATAAGGAGTCCCTGGATGGAGTAAGAAAGGTAATTTGAATCACTGGCCCAAATCGTTATTAAATATGTTTGAGAACCGTAATAAATGGCGAATATGCCGTACTTTCCTTCTTTCTTCTTTTTCCGGAATTCATGTGAAGTTACGAATGCTGCTCAAGTGCCTTCTAATCCTGTTCCCAGATTATTACGTTTCTTTACTATGCACTATTTTTTGTGTGGTGCATCTCTAGCTGTAGATACTGTATGAAGTTTGTGTTTAAATGAAAAATGTATTGAACAACTAACCTTCAGTAGCATCGCCTATAGTTAACTGTGGTACAGGTTGAATTGGAAGCGGGAGCGCTCTGGTTACTGCCTGAGGCACGACTGGAGGCAGAGCAGAAACTGGAAGTAGCTGTACATCAGAAATGACACATATCGGAAGTGAATTAACAATCTTGTTTGACGGCATGATCTGAGCATTTTGAGATAGAGTTGTTATACTAATAAATGGCTGATTTGAATTAGATTGATTAACGCCAAATACGAGCGGAGTATTAACAGTGGGAAGTGTGATCTTTTGTACACCTAAATATAGGCCCAATAGGAAAATCACCATTAGTGTTATTAAGGAAAACTAAAACGTTTGTGAAATCAAGGTAATTTTCAACTACTGTGGAACAGTATTTAGTAATTGAAATTTTTCGACCGATATCGATTACACTCTAAAAAATACACACAGCACATAAAAAGAGGGAAACAAATTACAATAATAATAGTAATCTTAAGTAGAAACCTGATGAAATTATGATCTTAAAACTATCATCACCTTCAAGCTTTTATCCAATAGTCTATAATGATTTGCAGATCCTACTTTTTATGAACTGCCTTAATCTTGACAGTAGGCGGCATCTTTCAGTATGTATCTATTCCGACCATTGTCACTCATATGTGGCTGATACAGAATTGTACATTAAATGGTTCATCAAATGTGCTATATGAAAGACAAAGATTTTCTCAGAGCAACGTAACAACCTCTAAAAAGTAGAATCCACTGACTAGAGGCACGGTATCAAAGTTGACAACCTACATTTTCACATACTGAGATGAACTAAGCGCGTAAACAAACGTGACATGACTCGAGAAGTGCGTTTCCTGTTACCTAAGTCTTACTGATTCAAGTAAGTGATATCATGTACCAAAAATATTTCATGATGATCGTCCCTGTGGGATAATAGCCACAGGCACTTCACCTCATGAGTTTAAATCTTTTTCCACTTACAGAGATTAGGACAGTTATCCAGGGTCATAATATTGCAATAAATAGTTGTCTTGAGATCTGCACCCAAGTACCTAGTTATGCCAAACTTTTCTCAAGTAATCTCCATCTATGTCAATCAATAATCTCTTGCTGACAAGTATCGAATATTAGGACTATGAGGCTGTTCAAAACCCATTCCAAGAAGATGCGGATGGGATAAATGAATAGCACTAGGACTAAATGCAACATCTTAAAACTGACTGCAAGAAGCAGTGTTTGCAGGAAGTAATTATTGCAGATGTATTCAATGTTTGCAATAATCGATCACCCTTACAACAGTTACCAACATCGCTTATCTAGGAGACTGCATGTTGTTACGGCATTCAGGTAATAGAATTGTATCGTCTATACTATATCATTAACCACGAGATAAAGACTTCAAGACTCCAACAAACACACCTATAATAAAATCATTTATAAACAAAAAGAACAAGTATCTTTGAGAACATCGCTTGACACTTTAACATGAACTCGTTAACAGCCAAGTGTTTAGGTATAAAGCTCATAATGAATATGAACTTGGTAGTCATCTTTACAAGACAACGACAGAGTATTTATTGAATAGAGAAGTTAGAACAAGAAAACAGAACCTTTAAATACATCTATTCTTTAGAATCCTATAGCCAATAGAAATTCAGTCAATAAAGTCATAAGACACTTTGAAAAGTTACTCTTTTTGTTGACTTCACATTTCCCCGAATCTAGTTAGATGTCAGATGATTATGAAACTTCATATGCTGTTAACTACATTGACCAAGCTACTTCCACTGGAATAACCACTGATTGGTGTTTGGTCAGAAGGAAGGGCATTGTCGATTATTATACAAAATTTGCTACACCTGCATCGTGTAAGCCACAGTCTACGCGTACAATAACCGCGACTATGAAAACGGTACAGGTGAAAACCATTGTATTTTTCAATTTCTACAGAACTACTAAATGGAACAACCAACGGACTTAGATAATGCAGAGAACGCAAGACATACTTCTGAATAGTACCTTAGATGTTCTTTGTTAGAGAATACAATATACGCCAGCAGTTATCCTCCAGTTGAGCGAATACAATCAGAGCAGTAGTACATAATCTTAAAGTACAATACTGTTAATAATAATAATCAATAAGTGCTAATGATAAACATATCAACAAAGCAAATTTTGATAAGAATGTACATATTTACAGGTGTCACACTTTGCATTAGCAGTAAACGGAAAAACAAACAAAACTGAAAACATCAAAAATAAACATGTGGATAGGACATAAATATTAATAGGACAATTAGACGCTCGAGACTTAAAAGAGGATAACTCACTGAATTTGTACCATAGTGACCAGTTTAGGACTGTATCACTCGAAGTTTGCAGCCGATACTTAGTTACCTTGACCCTGACCAAGAAAATCAGCTCTTAGGAAAGTACACGAATTATTGTTTCATAATGTAGTGTGGTACCTACAATGTTCTGTCTTTTATCCTCTATATGGCTTGTTCATAAACTCACCATAAGCATGATAAATTAGTGTGAGAAACACAGGTCCGCAGCCTTAGGGGTTCGACTATAGTTTCACAACTTATACATTACCAAACTTTTTTTACAAACTAACCAATCCATTAGAGTTGGATCAACTTAGAATAAGGTGGAATGGCTAGGTGAGGACAATGGTAAGATGTAAAGCCATGTTTCCCACTCTTCTATCATGAGATGACAATACAAGACTCACTTGCGTTGATACATAAATCAACTACAGAGCAACTTGATCAAGAGTATCGGTTACTTCATTTACTCCGAGTTCTACGCATAGAGTCAAAATTATTATTTTACCATATTCATATGCCAAGTTGCCAACAGAATTTCGGAATGCACACAAGAAGATCGTGTGATGCCAGTTTTTATCATTCCTGAAGTCTGTCTGTTTTCAACATAGAACTTTGCACCGATGTGCGGCAGTTCAAGTCACCACACTCCATATAGTTTACAAAGCAAGAGAAGAAACTAGAAGAAATGTATAATAGAGACAGTAGACAGGGATAGGAAACAAAGGAATAGTAATAACGAAGAACAATACAGTTTCACTGGAAATTATAAATCACAGGGAGTGAATGCATCTGTGCCAGCTAGTGACAACGATTTTGAGCCATATCACCGATTGTCTCCAGCCATTGGTGTTCACCGTCCCGATGACCCCAACCAGGAAGTCTACACCTTCCTACGTGGCTGCCGCCTTAAACTAACTGTTGTGGATTTCAGTGACTGATGAGGACATGTTCTGGTTTGAACACCTGGCTCTTTTCCAACCTGACCCTATGTCAGCTAACATTGGCCATCGAAAGAGGCGATGGCTAGTGATGCATGTGTAACACATGTCCTAACCATCTCAGTCGATGTAACTTCACAGACTCGTCGACTGATTTCTCCTCCCTACCTAACACTCGACCGAAACCTAACCTCAATATCGATCACCTTATTATGTGACTTCACACGGGAGATACAACGCAAACACCTATAATCCAAGACACCTAGCCATAAAGGGGGATGGAGCGGACTGTTGAGCGCTACACACGTCATTTGGTCGATAGCCAGATATCACGTCTACGCCAAAGACAGCGTAAACTGGCATATGCCAAAACAAGCCTTTTGTATCCGTGCTGAGATTTCGTCAGCGATCAACCCATTGGGGCTGGCTGATGCAACTTCCCAAATAAGTGAAGCGGTCAACACAATCTGCCACCTCACTTCCTATTTCTAAGCTAGGAGTCAGTGTATTTCAGTCCAGTAACATCATCTTACATTTAGCGGGAGCGAATCGCATGCCAAACATTCGTAGATTGTAGCTCAAAGTGTTCAGAAGACTCCGCATTTTGTCAGCGTCCTCGCATAGAAGGACTATATCATTTGCATATTCTAAGTCAACGAGATTATTCCCTGACAGTAACAAGTCAATCCCTGAGTATCTGAAGTGAGTTAGGGTTAATTCCATTAGTACATCTATGATGAAATTGAGTAGAAATGGGGATAGTGGGCATCCCTGACGGACACCACTAGTAGTCACCACTTCAGATGACAACTCGTCGTAAGCTCTCACCTGGCTGACTACATCAGTTTGAATATAGTGCCTTGATCAGTGAAATGTATTCTCTTGGCATTACTTTTACAGACAAACATCGCCATAGTGCCTCTCGGTCGACAGAATCGAATTCCGCCTTTAGGTCAAGAAATATGACGACTGTTGGACTCCGGTGAGTATGCCTATTTTACAGAATCTGTCGGAGAGTGAATATATGATCAATACACTCTCTTCCTGGTCTAAAACCTGCCTGGCTTTCTCGTGTTTGTTCCTCTCGTGAACCGCTTAGTCTACGCATTATTTAGCCCAGAACTTCACATACCATGTTGGTCAAGCTAATCAACCTGTAGTTATCACAGGAAGACTTGTCTCCCTTCTTGTATATGGGGATAATCAGTGACTTACATCAACCCGACGGGACTTCCTCTGATTCCCAGACGCTGCCTAGTACCTCAGTTAACACAGACAGTAAACTGTCTCCACCGTACTTAAATACCTCAGGTCCTGCTGCTTTGCCTTGTTTCAGACTAGTGACAGCTTTAGTAACCTCAGTTAGGGACGGAGGACCTGTGTTCATATCCCATTCAGGCAGGTGTTGGATGTTCGGCAGGTTGAGCTTGGCTGTAGGCTAATTAAGCTGCTGCCGACCCCAGATATTCGTTTCGCTATTTCCTCCCTAAATACGGACTCAGTGTTTCGATCTGGTTGGGGACATAACTGTTTCACTCCCACATTTTCTTAAGTCCGTTTAGTCGTAAGCACAAACGTGCGCTGACCAGAACATGATCGGAGTCTACGCAAGTGTACCAAAAGGAGCATCAGTCTTCTATTGACCCTCACCAACGATATCCTATCGCTATGTGGTCTATCTGAGTCCAGCGTTGATTTGGTGATGGATCTCACCAGGTTACGCAATCTCTCTCTCTCTCCTTGTGTCTAAAGTTAGTGCTGACTAGGAACAGATGATTATCTCAACAGAACTGTAGGGGACGATCACCGTTGTCAGTTCGTCGTCAGCGAACTCCATAGGTACCACATACATATTTCTCAGCCTGGCACAACTTCCTTACTTGGCCATTGAAGTTGCCTGCTAAAACAACTATATCTGAATGTTTTGCTTTTTGCAGCAGATTAGACAGTTTCTGGTAGAAGTCATCTTTTAGTCCATCCGAAATACAGTCTTTTGGGGTGTAAGAGGAGACTACGAAAAAACAACGACTGGTAACGCCGTCCTTCCTTCTTCTAACGGGCCCGTTTAGACGGACCGCACACGCGTACGATATTCCTGCCCTATCACTCAATGCTATCTCTACACCTGCGAGTCCTCGCGAACTAGCTGAGGGGTCTCCTGACATCCTTAAAGTCAATTTCGCAGATTCACCTTCTTGGCCGGCTGAGGTTAAGTGAATGAATACACTTGGGTCTTGTATGCGTGTCTCCGAAACACAACATACAATCATGGCTCAAGATGCTAGAGTTCTTGCTAGTGATGCCTGTTGTCCGATTTGGCAGAGGGTCCTAACGTTAAATACCCCTGTATGAAGTTGGCGTCGTGGCTTTAGGAGGCTGTCGGGGGTGTTTCTATGGCTCTCATCGTTGTTTGTGGTCAGAGAGTGAAGTGAAGATGACTCACTAGTCTGAAGAATAGTACTGACTGTAGTGGGAGGGCGGAAAGGTGATGAAGGTGATGTGGGTAAGGGAGAATGATGTCTGGGGAGGCTTCGTGTACTCTGGGAAGTGTGTGGCATTGGTTGTTACTTCCCGGCTGCCCACATCGCGCAAGTTGACTGATTCTTTGGGTACCTCAAAGAGAAAGAGGATTAGTGTTACGTGACCACAAAGTCCAGGGGACAACTGCTTGAGACCGGTCACACACGGCCTGTATGAACGGGTTTCTTGGTTTGGTTCTGTATCACTAAGCTTACCGCCGTTTACGAACCACTGCAGGGTAAGTCAGGGTGTACAATTATTGCTGTCGACCTTTCCGAACCCTCTTTATCCCTTCAGAATGAGGAGACAGCATAGCCGGCATGCTGGTCATCTGAGGGAAACACCTAACTGCTGTCACATCCCTGTTCCTCAGTGGTATGACTTCGCCCACAGACCCCCTCCATAGTGTAAGAAAATTCTTACACGAAGCTGGTAACTGCTTTTAGTCTAATCGCTACCCCAACAACCTTCCTGGTATGGTAGGACCTGTAGGAATAATGGTTCCAGCCAGTGTAGTTTGTTGGGTCATTGCGATGTTCAACCCCAACTACCACACCACATCAAGGAAGCAGCTATCGGTCGGTCCGTTTATATAGCTGTAAAAAGTTGAGGAGTTGAGGATATTTCCAACCACTATTTACAATACAACTCTTGCATGCAGTGGATGCGCTTTGTCAGCTATGCAAGTGTAACACTTGAAGCAAGGGATGATAAAAGCAAGTCTACGGATAAAACTGTGAACACTTTCTGCCTAGGTTTGCCGGGTTTTGCTTGACGCAGGAGACAGTAAAGGTGGTAAAAAGTTAAGAACGTTCCAGTTAGAACATAAAACTAACCCATGGGATTTCTGAGCATTGTTCTAGTCACTATAGAGAGAATTACACAAACTGTTCATGCTTAAGGGAAACTTAGTCTTCGCAGAACTACTTTTAATCCAGTCGGAATGATGCAGACAGACTAATCTTCTTCTTTAAAATACTTGATTGATCTCCAACTACAGTGACTGCTTTTGTTTCCACATATTGTAAACCTACCAATTTTACTGAATTTTCTTTTCGACTTTTACAAAGTATAGCACACTGATCCAATACAACTTTACATAAGATATAGTTTCAGATCCCTCTAATTGTGATTGTCATTTTAACAAAATTATAGTTTAAGAATAATTATTTGGACAGACTTACTCGACAGAGGAATATGATTGAGTTTATTTACATTTGGAGTTGTTCTTGGGGTAACTATTATGTTTGACATATTTGCAGAACCTGAAATTAAACGTCCTCCCAAGGCGTTTTCTACTGTAGCATCCGATGTTAAATCAATGGTATCATTGACTTGAATAGCTAGAATTGTGCCCGGCACAGGTCGAAGTCCAACATCAGAAACTTTAGGGGCAATAGCAGGCAGTTTGGGTGCAGTATAACCTGACAACTGATTGTTTGCTTGAGAAGTTTTAGAACTTATATTTGGCTGACGGTTCAGTGCATTGGTTGTTGAGACAAGTCGACCTGACTTCGAAACCACAGGAACAAGTGCGGATGGGCGAGGAGCTTGTGAAGAAGGAGTTCTCTGCTGACTAGCGGCACTTGTAGGAGTAGGCAAAGGTATCTATTCCAGGCAATATACAAAACCATATATGAGTAAATAAGTTGCATCATGCTGCTGAGTTGCTTCGAAACTATCTAAGTAAGAAACTATTAACGACATCCTAATGAGAATCGAATACCTCGACACAAAGTAAAAACTTTATCGACAGTTACTTACCCGGTCGTTAATCATTTTCGCGATATCTTTTGAGCTGGATAAAATGAAATCCATGCGACTTGTTAACTGGTTTAGCTCGTCTTTTAAACTACTAACTCCTTTTTCTCCTGCCTCAATCAACTCTAGGTATTTAGTCAATTTTCCCTTCAGAGCTTGTCTAAATTGCGAGTCAAAACACAGTCGAGCTTTCTTGATTTCCTCTTGAATTCCCGGCAAACTTCTAAGATTACAAGTGCTATAAGCACCTTTAAAACCATTCGGTATGGGAAGTGTCACTGCCATTTCTGACAGTCGAGCTTTCTTGAGTGATGGACTTTGAATGCAATTATCGTTGCAGTTATCATGCCTTACAGAGTTTAAATCGTTTATGTTTGATCCTGGATATGTGGTGCGATTATTTTGCAAGCCAACAGAATCCGTAACGCTGACATTACAGAACGGATCTGACATGACAAATAATCCACTTAGATGTAAGCAAGTGGGATCTAAAATAACAGAAAACAAAGACGATAAATCAAGAGAAAAGCAAAACAATGAGGCATTTCCTGTGACAATTGAGTACTACCGGGAAATATTAAAATATGTGGTTAGGCAGATGTTTATCTCAGGATGCTTAATATTCTTAGGAAAGTCTCAATTTGGAGCATTTCTACCAAATCGTGGGAACCTACACAAGAACGTTAACTTGATACAAATGAAGAAACTCACCACAAAAGTACGTATCAGAAATTCTTTATATTGTAGTGGAACATTGTGAATTCATTTGCAACTGTTTAGCTTACTAGAATATGATCTCTTTTTTGAGATGAGTGATCATTGTGCTGACAAATCAATGTGTTTAGCTAACCTGTACAGATTTTCTTTGTGTCTACACAGGTGGTAACATGTAATATGCTTCAGTAACATGCGTCCGTATCAACGTTATCTACCTCTTTCTGCAAATAACATTATCTGTTGAAGCTTTATTACTCTTTGGGAACCACAATCATGTCTAACAGTCATACAGGGTCGTGTCAATGCAAAAGATACAACGAAGAGAAAAGTATTACGACTAACTGCACATGTATCTTAATAAGAAATAAACATTCTAAATTCACAAGAATATTAAGTGTACAAATTCATCCTACAGATAGAGGAGGGCATTACATCACCCCGAGCGATGCTGGGGACATCACTCGTACCCAATTCCCATGAAACTTCATGAACTCTTGTTCATGAAGCCGGCTCATCCTCCCGTAGGAGATAGCCGAAGTAAAAGTAAGTAAGTATTACATCACCCAGGATTTCTAACCACGACTTGGGTCCCGTAGAATTCTGATGCAAAATATAAGTGACTGAGATGATATCTCCTCACATGTAACTGTGACAGACGGTAGTTTCAAATTGTCTCGTCAACAGATGTAATATCACTCCGTGAACAAAAGCGAAATAAATCAAGTCCAACCAACGCTTGGAAATGTAAAATGCATATTTATTGGCGTAGTTGCGTCATCCAAGCTGGACAGTGTAATTGTGAAGAATTCATTGTCTTTCTTTAAAACATCTACACATTTTTGAAATAATCTCACTATTAAATAACTGATACTCTAATGTAGAACTTTCAACAGAATTGCAGTTCAAGCCTAGCTGCAAAACACCACATCATGAGAAGAATGAATGTAGAAGGACACTACAAGCTGCCGATGGAAGTCAGATGGGATGGGAAATTTACGTTCCAACCATGATCAAGGTCGTTTAGAGCATACGTGGAGACTTTTCCTATAGACAAAAGACTAAAATTTTCAAGAGTGATACACAGTAGACTTCAAGTAAATGTTTCGGGGCTTTGCTGTTACGACAAACTTGTATATATCCACAGTAGCAGTGCACCTAGGATGTTTCGAATTTCTGTAGTCTTTCGATGAGTTGTGGGCCAGCTCCTCTTACCAAACGAACGAGGGCCTAACCCTTTGACATTACCAGTGTTAGGTAACATGACTACGGTTAACTGCAGCAGAGAATATAGGATAAACACAACTTGAACGCTGGAACTACAATCCTACACCTTTGTCTGCATTTCATAAAAAAATTCAAATGCTTTTTCTCCATCCTTATTTTTGCCAGTAGCATCCAGTTAAGTGTTATGTGAAGAACAGTTGTACATTTATTAGATCCCACAATAATGTGTGTCGCCCAGATGCAAATACTGAATTCCACATACCTGCGTGCAGATTAAACGCAGATGAGAAGACGAAAAATTGAAACGCAGAGGAGTGCAGAACCTTCGTGAGTGGTACGGATTTTAACAGTAACTTTTACCGCAGAAAATTAAACTGAAAATCCACAAATAAAATATCCCAAGCATATATACATATCAACAAAATGGCTTCTAACCGAAGTATGCAGATTTGGACCATCACCATATTTGTGGCAGATTTGGCATTTTGAATAATGTAAGGGTGAGGAACTTTCTAAAATAGCAAGTCGGATACAATTTAGAGACCTAAAGGCAGCATCAAACTTCTGACGTCATATTGGTGTCCTCAAGCATGCAAGCACAGTAAACTGCCATTCCACCCCCCGCCTTAGGGACCCCAAGTGAATGTTTTACCTCTCCAAAATCCTAAAAGTAGGTTTTGTGACAATCACAAACGGACTGGAGTTGTGTTTTTCCTGTTTGTTTGTAAGGTTGAAGGGAGTGGGGTGCCACCGCTTTTCTCTGGTAACATTTTAAGTACCAAATGAAAAACTGATGCCTATAGAGAGGACCACGTCCGCAAACAATGCGACCTTACATTCAGCCACTGGATAAGTGAAACAACAATGTTTATGCAGGTATTGGTGACAGTGCTAAGCGTATTTACTTCTGATATCACGATATTCTAATCATAGAGTAAACGAAGCTCACCTGCAAAACCTGACGCGATAGCAGCCATTAGCTGATAGCACCGGCAAGAGTATCCAGTACTGAGACTTAATTACTCTGAACCAGACAATCATCGCTTCTAAGTTGTTCGAACGATCTGCGTGAGTACATTTCGAAAAGCTTTTCCGTTTTTATAACCCCATTATTACCTAAGCGTTTTCTAAAGGAATATATTCAGCCTAGCTGTTTTGATTTCTGTGTAGACAGATACTTAAGTCTACACCAGTACTGTGTATCAAAATAATCACGTAAAGCTGTTAATTCTACGCAGCAATAGTTGAAGGTTGAAGAACAGGAATGTAATACATTACGGACGAATCAGGACTCATCAAACATAGACAGGAATCAATATAACGAGAAGCATGAAGTTTGAGCTACGCGAACATGTACAAGTTTTTGTGTGATATATTTGAGACAAACACTATAGAGTACACAAAAATGAGTAAAATGTACAAGTTAGCAGGGTGTAACCATAAACAACGTATTGCCTGGGTAAGTCTCGTGTTACAATGTCCACTAATTTCACATGTTTGCCCAGACTTATTACAACGTCCAGGTCACAAGTGGGTGTTTTCAGTGGATCTTTAACACCAAAACTCACTCATTTTCGGTAAATTTATGCAATGAGTTTGTTTGTATACGCTATTCTTAAACTTCGCCCTAGAGATTTGCTGCGGTTCTGACTGGGGGTATGTGAGAGACCGGTGACCTTGAAACCACTGGATAGACACGACAGTGCAATCATCCTATATTACAAAATTTGTTCATATATGACTGCCACGGTATTACGAACGTGACGTCACATTACTGCTTTGGCGATTTATCAATAGCATATGAACTCAAAACTTGAGTCAGCATGGTATCGTTGGTCTACATTGGTCCGACTTACGGCGAATACATGTGTGAGGTGATATCCACCCCAGCTAAGTTTTCAAACATGTATGACATAAATGTCACAGTTTTGCAAGAGTAGACATCTTAACCACGATTTGGCGTTATTTTCTTTGCGGCTGTGTTGAAGAGTGTTTCTGACCGTAAATTTCTCATACCTTTACCAATACATAATTCTGATTCTTGAGGATATAGCAGTCCTTAAATGACTTACATTCACGAAATCGTCGAGTGCATAAGAACATTTTAAGGCGTACTGACCACTCTCAACTTACCAAACCTAGGTGTTTCAAGGACGCGAGTGGCGGCCAATTCAAGCTCAAGGTCGCCCGTAGACTGCGCGCTAAACAAATGTACGGACACAATTTTTTCCCATCCGAATATGACAGGTAATTGCAGCAGTGATGAGTTCATGATTTGTGAACATTATTTAAAGTTACTTACAATAACTCCAAAACTCTGAATGCACCCTAAAATTGGAAGTAACTTTTCCTTTGATTTCTATGAAAAAGTAGTATTTCTACTAGCAAATGGCAAAAAAACGGCTGTGTAACTGTTGAAAATTCCAAATTTACGGTGCACGAATTCAGAAATTACCTCGATCCCTCCCCTGAAGATCCAGGAGGACCCTATCTTCTACATGAACTGTGGGAAATATGTGAGGGTATGCTTATAACCAGTTCCCGCATTCCGTTTTCACTTTACCTATTAGCAGTTACACCATATATTTCTGTGAAGCATGTGAGCTTTAGACAAGCTAAAGGGCGAAATCTAATGGTTGATACATATTTGTGTGAAAATTATCAGTAAACTTTTATGAATTTTCGTCAGTGTGTTCGAAAAACAGTAGATAGAACAAATGAAACTTCTACACTTCACTGCGTGTATCTACTTACTCAGTACTCCTGGTTTACCACAATTAAACTGCATCTCCAGGGTAGGAGTCACGCAAGCTTTTAGGTTTCTGCTGACTCTGAAATTCTGTCAAAGGGTGTAGATTCGTTTGATACATCCAGTTCGATTCTTACCTGTTGTTACTTGAACGCCGTTAGTAGAAAATGCTACTGGTGGTACACAATATTTTCTAGAACGAGTACTTGGGACCTGCTAGTTATACAGTACCCAAAACTTGACTTTAACCGGTGAAATTAACTGAATTTAGTAACATCAATGGTTTAATCTACCTGTCATCAGTAAAGTAACCAAAGTTGCAACTAGATATCAGTGAGTATAATCGTCTTCACTTCAGCTGAATATTCACAAATAACCGTCAGTACAACTCGGCTTCATGACTAGGCCTTCTATTATTGGTCCTCTTTACAACCAAGAGGCGAAAAGTGTCAATATTATGGTCTGCAGCAGTAGTGAGGGTGATGTTGGAATAACTAATTTCACCCAAAATACAGGTCTGTGAAGCGCGGCACAAATCCATTGCCCTGTTTATCAAGACCTTAGTTGATGATACTACTCATTTGTTAAATTCAATGGGTGAATGTTAAAATTTGTAATTTGAAGTTGTTAAATTAGTCTAAAGAAAACTGGTTTACAAAGTGGATCCATTTACCCACAGTTACCTACTGCACTCTCACTAGAGCTATATGTGATTGTGAAAAATTTGTCAAAAGTGTCTATATGGGAAAAGTTGGGGTAAAAAGCGTTGGGTACTTCTTAGGTGTTAAGAGATGAGTAGATTCTAATTAATATTGCCATGTGGAAAAAAGTTTTAGGGATATAATTCGCTTTGGTTTCAGCCATTATGCTGAACCCGTTCATTCGTTCTTACTGACAAGGCTGATACGTAGAATAATGAAAGCGCATACAAATTATTCAATGCTTACTACACGGCACTGCATCTGATGTTTTGAATAGGGACTTATAGTTATCAGCCCCACATGGAGTGAGATAAATTCATACGTAACATCGAGAATCTTTTTCCCGAAATTTCACCATATTTTCTCTTTGTGGGGAAGTTATTTCCCGAGACGCATGCGTGATGAAATAAGTGTTGAGAGAGAACACATTGAGCGGTACAGAATATGTATTTTCCAATCTTCCAACCAGTAAGTTACAGCAAAAAATATAGGAATGTATACAGGGGTTTAAAAATGGAAAGAATCAATCAACTGGCTAAATGTCAATCAAATATCACAAAGCAGACAATAATTAAAAGGATCAAATCAGTTCACACATATGAGAAGCGTTTTACCGTCCCCTATTTGCAGATGTCCACATTCGGAGTCAGATTGTTGATTGAGTTTTGGGGTAAATCGAGCAGGTGGATGGACTGTTTGGTTCCATATGGCCTTAATAGAGCTGTTACGGATTGATCGCCCTTTCTTTTCCCTGACCTACAGACATCTTGGTCAGCGGATTACGTCCAACTAAAGTAGAATATATCTTAGATGACACGGTCACCAGGGGCTCTTCATCAGTGTGGTGAGGTAGATGATGTTTTCAGACTTCTGTTATTGGTAATAATAATGGTCTCCTTCAGGACAGTCAGGCCCTACTATTTTCAATATTTAAGGCCTCTGGATTGGTTTAGATTTGACTTTACGCTCGTCCTAAAGCTCACAAACAGCCGCCATTAGTTAAATCCGTGCGAATTCAATGAGACAGCTGATACTTTAGGCCGTATTACCCAACTGCTCATCAGACATCACATTTACTGTCAATTTATAATAGTTTTGAAGTGAGGGTCCAGCTGATCGAGAACTCTCGGCCTACATTTCAACTCCAAAGGAAAGCGTGAGGTGATTTCAATACGTGACTTTAAAGAGAGCAATCCTCATATTTGTACGAGTAAATTTCTCGGAAGATATTTTAACGTTTGTTCAGGATCAGAGTACACTTGCGGAACCCACAAATACTGGCCATCTACATGCAAGCCCTCAAATTTTGAGACATCTTACGGTACTAGGCATATAATTAATTGTCATACGTTATTTAAATTCATCTTAAAGAGGTTTTGGAGTCACGTCCGTAAGTTTGAGGCGAATTAGGCGCTTGGGAAATCTTAGGCAACTTTGGGCATCCCTAAACGACTCTCAACTAAACCTACCTAAGTAGAGTTTATTTAGAAATTCAGACTGATTCATGCATACAGCCACTTTTTTGATGCCTAGTTTGCCTGTGTCTATTTGAAAACTATAATCACGTCGGTAATCAACAGATGGGAAAACGGTTCATTTAGACAGCATTTACTTTGTTAACTTCCACTCATTATTTTAGCGCTGTTTGAAATACAGATGTCAGAGTATTCCAGCTCGGGTCTAAGCATCCACGGCAACATCAGAATGTTCAGGCCGAATATGAAATGGACAAGCTATAGCCACTGTAACACTGCGTATGTGATTCCCAAGCTAGTGCTCGCACTTGCCGAAAAATAAAGCTACACATCCAGACCTCACATCATGGGTATACAAATATGAAAATGCACAGTTGTCGGAACAGAGACAAGTTGCTTCCGGGCAACGTCTAAGCCAGTGTGAGCACTTTTTCTTCCATAAGTTATTGCTCCCCATGGAACTCGGGATCTCAAGGCTTAGGGTCAAATTTTCAGGAGTGTTTTAGCGACAGAAGTCAAGGGTATCTTGTAACAGAATTATTTATGGGAAACTCAACATATATATATGGGTAAAGTATCATGGCTTGCATGTCTTCTTCGTCTCACTTTTATGTCTCCCATGTTGCTTCAAAGTCGTGGTTCAATAAACCCATCTTTCCGCAACTTTACACAGAGTTCTTTTACTCCATATCCTTGATATATGTAGTGTCCAAGCCCGTTGACATGGTGTTTGCTTTTCAAATTAGCATTAAAATCTTTCTCTTGTGTACATAATATCAGTGTCATTATATTCTTGAACCGAGTTGCATTCGCTCTTCTCACGGAAGATTGCTTGATGCTGATATCTGCATTGAGTAGAGGCAGTAATTCCGAAAGTTAAAGATATGTTACCGAATTTTCACGAAGTCACGCTGGTATTTTTTGGCCTTATTATTGATGCTCCCTTAAATCCACCAGATAAAAGTGGTTCCATTTAAAAACTTTGTTCTATATAACTGCCCTCCGATTCTCTTGCAGGTGATACAAATATATCTGCACCTATATAATACTTACAAATCTCTCCAGTGGCACATACCACGCTCATTCTCCCTCCAAATAGTTTCGATCAATGTAGCTTCAACCTTCTTGGCGTTAGCCACTTCTGTTGCGTCTTGCTACTGGCCTGATTATCCGAGTAAATCCAGCTCGAGCGTCAGCTGACGTTGACGCGTTTCGGTTTGTCTCCTTTCCATATGGTGTAAATGGGATCACCTCCCTCGGGGACAATGTATGGTCCTTCTCACAGTGGAAAGGGCTTATGTAAACCCCTGTAATACTGACTACTTCATTACCTTAGCGTCCTTAAGAGAAAACTGACTTTCTAGTCGTTCGCATGAAAGCTATTACTGCGCAGAATAATGTAGGATTGAGTTGGGGTCAGAGCAATGCAATGCTACAACCAGAGTTACTGTGAAAACCTCACAGAGCTTGACATCAGAAAAGGGAAAGGGTGGCGCATGGCGCGATCAGAAGATATGTTTAAAATGGTGGGTCGCCCGATTCCCTGGGACAGCAACACGCACTGTTGATAGCTCGAGCATTCAAGATGAATTTATATCCTTGAAATGAAGATAATAATGGTTACTAAGACCTAAGTGTTTAATAGGAAAATGCGTGTGCTCTTAACATGTGAAAGTCTACTAAGTTTCTTGTCAAGATGGAACCCCGTTGTCCCTGCACAAATTCATGAGACATCTTAAGGTTCGGCATGTCCTCCAGGTTCTAACCTTTGAGACACTGCGCGTCGGTGGCACAGTGGTTTGGACTCTCGCATGGTCCGAGGTTCGATCTCCTGCCGACGCACACCTGATATCTATGGTCGGCCTGCAAAATTTGGGCTACCGATATCACATGCTGCAAATTCCATACCTGTACTAAAAATACGGTGTGGAATCAAGCTGTAATCAAAAATAGAAAAGTAAAAAATTATTTGAAACTGCTTCTAACTGAATTGTCACTCATACACTGCTTTATACTCTGTATCATCTTAACTACCTTGGTGGTGAGAGCTATCTACAAGCTAAAATTGTAGACTACAATTTACTCCGATGTTTATGCCCAAATCGAGTTCATCAGAAAAAAAAATAACGAAGCTTAGTCTTGTGGAATTCACCAACCAACTACAGCAGACTTAACCGGCTGAAAAAGCATTCGCAGATATATG